GAGAGAGAGAGAGGGTGTACCTGATGAGAGAGAATTGTGGAGGAGGACGAGTTGATCACAAATGGTTGAGTAAATGGCGATTTGCTTCCGAAGAACTTCCATTTGCTCATCAGTCATCACTCTGCCATTAAACGCATCGTTTTGGATCTCTCTCTCCATCTCCTTCACCACTTTGCTTTCTCCTTTTTTACCATATGAAGAAAGACAAATGAGAAAGTGAATGATTTATATATTTATAAACAAAACAAATCTTTAATTTTATTTGTTACCGTTAACTTAAGCACCTTTTTGGAAAGATTCTTGACTAAATGATACAATTGGGCTGATTTGATTTTTCTTAATTAGCAGTTTAATTAGAGCTAATTTAGGGGATCTAATTAGATTATAATTGGTGAAATTAAATCCTAATTCTTCTGTAAATATATAGGCATCTGATATAATCTTAATTTTATAAATGGTAAAAATTTAACAACACTGTAATTCAAAAAAAAAAAAGAAGTTAACAACATTAGAAAATTATGGTCTTAGCTAGAGCGATTTGGTCAACTGTGTTCACTATTTTGGTGGTAGGATTTCATCATTTTAATCGAGTTTTACGGGTCAATAAAATATCTACCATTTGCACCTAAAAAAATATAGGGACAAAAATACATCAACTATTTGAAAAAGGGTGGTAATAATCCGAGAAAATCATAATCCTATGTGCTAATTAGATAATGAGACACGACACTTATATATATAAAATAACATAAATAATTCATAGCATCAAATACTTAGTAGCTTGTATTTGTGGAGGAACGCAAACTATGTAACAATTTAACTTTATATTTAGTGGTTAGGTAAAGCCGGAAGCAAGGCTAAATCACCATAATATAGAATATTATCGTTGTGACTAGTACTAATTAATTTTAAAACACGATAAGAATTAATAAAAACAAAAGGAGCATGGTTTGTTTTACTTTGTGCTGATTCAGAAGCAAAATGTATGGATTCAGGACCAAAAAGGTCTTTCAATAATAAATTTTATAACAAGCGAGGAAATAAGCTTCCGCATAATTGTGCTGCTATTACGCGGATTTCACTCAACATTTACATAAAAATGCATCCATTGAAACTCTAATCTTATATGATTTTCTTCATGACGTGAGGTCATTGAAAAAGGAAGGCCTTTAAAACCATTTTACGAACCTGTGTACCTTAAAGTCAATTCAACCAAACAAAAAGTAAAATATAATGGATTACACTTTTTGGAACACATTGATTAAGAGCGTGTTGATATTTGTAAATGTTCACCGTTCCATGATCACCAGAGGAAAAGCACTCTTTGTAGCATATAAAACATGATTTGTTACGTTAACTCTCGTAAGCAAACATCAAACCATATAAACACTTCATCACAACAACTACAAGCATAGATTAAAAAGAGCATTAGGATAACAATAACAAAGGTAGAGGGAAGAGATAAAAAAAAGCTAAATCGTTATATAGAGCTGCAAATCTCTGAATCACCAAACTAAACATTCTACATTTCACTTTTTTCCATTACCCGTAGAATCAGTGGGAGATAGTGGTAGGGTAGTTTTACT